TTTTTTTTTTTTTTTTCAAATTTTTCTTTTTTGACCGAGGGATAATTTTGAAAAAAATAAAAAAGCAGGTTGACTAACCTTTGTAATTTCCACCTACAAGAGGAGCATTTTTGTATTTTATCTAAAATTTTAAAATCCATACATAAATCGCTCATAATTTTATCACTTCTATTCACACAACAATGTTAAACACCCAAGTCTATAAAACTTACAAGTTTATATCGATTCACTGAAAAACTCTTCTCTTTTGTCCTGAGGAAAACATTCCCCTAAATGAATAAATGGTAGATTTGTTTTCATCAAAAAAAATAAATGGTAGATTTGTCATTTTTACCAATGCTACACACGGGCATAGGCGTTGAATTTGTGTAACTATGGGAAAACGTTTATATGAAGGGTGAGGCCTTAAACACCTCCAAAATTCACTAGAAGGAGTTGTTTCGATGCTAACAAACCCTAACTTCAGTCATCTCAATCCCAAGATGTATGGACATGAGAAAAAATAGATTTTAAGTATGGGTGTGGCTTGCATAAAGTTGCAACCTTAAACAATCCAATTAAGGCACACCTCTAAATTTTATCCTAAATGTAATTTTGATATAAAAAGTTATAAGTATTGCTTGAGAATCTATTCTCATTTCTAATTATAAAATTTTAAACTCTAAAAATGGATCAAATCAAGTAGATCTATGAACACATTAAAATTTTGAAATGGAGGGTCTAAATAATGTGTTGCAAGATACAATAATTCTATTCTCATTTCTAATTATAAAATTTTAAACTCTAAAAATGGATCAAATCAAGTAGATCTATAAACACATGAAAATTTTGAAAATGGAGGGTCTAAATAATATGTTGCAACATACAATATTTCACGAACTAGAAATTTTTCCTTTCTTAAAAGTCCAAATGTTTTTAATTGAGACTAGCCCGAATCAAGAGCATCCAACTTGGTTAAGTCTACCTCCTACTCAGATATGGGACTCTGGCAAGTCAGAGTATGAGCCCTGTTTTAGAAATAATTTAAAATAAAAACAACATTATATAGTTTTGTGATCATAAGACGTGGTGGTTTCATAAGATTGGCCTGAGAGAAAAGGAAAGCAGATAATCTGAAAACGAGTTTCAACGAAGTCAGACTGGCACTAGCAGTAATACACACCAGCTTGCTGCAAAAGCAAAAAGACTTGCTTGCATTATCCCTTACATTCTGCTGAAAAGTACGAAACATAAGATCATCAAACTTGTCCCTTAATCTCAATGACAAGATTGAGATATAGGTGGCTATATAGTTGCATAATTGCCAGATGGAAGTTAACATCTATAATACCATAAGCCATGTTGCATCCCAGTGCATGAGAAACATCAAGAAGACCATTCGAACAAATGATTTATTGATTTCAGGGTTGCTTTCACCATGCACAATGCATAGTTATAAGACTGCATAATATTTGGCCATATGTTTGAAATGTCCACAAATATATGGAAAACAAATTGTGTGGTCACAAAATTAGAGCCAAACTTTCAACAGTACATTCCAAACATTGTGAATCTTTATTCTATGGCATGCATTATATTTCTCAAACTCTTGGCTCTGGCACTGTGTCCTTCTTCATTTTTATTCTTTTTCTTTTTTTTTTTGGTAAATTCATTGGGGTGTGAGCACCTATTCTTACATTAATCATGAAATATGAGAGCACAGTAAGAGCCAAATGGCTAAACTGGGCACCAGTAGGACAACAACAATTAATCCTTACGATTGTTTCCCATACCTTGTTAAGATCCGGTAAAAATATGATTGTATGTGACTAAGAATAAGGAATTAAATCTCTGAAAAATGTAATTCACATGTACAATGACCAAAGTAGATCTGATTGGGAACATTCCATATCAAGGAAGAAGATTATGCCCTTGCAAGCAAGAAGACAGAAATGTAAGTACTCTATGAGGATTGTGATAGAATCACAAGCCAATATAGCTATATAAGGGCCATTATGTTCAGCACAATCAACTAAGAAACTTGGGTGAAGTTCAAAGAAACATCGTCAATTTGATAAAAGATTCAGAGGCTTGAGTCAGAACTGACATTATATGGTATGCACTTCTACTTAAGCAGATGCCCTAGCTCTACTGACAATCCTCATAATGTTCATTTGATTTCCATCAAGACCTCAAATGACAAGTGACTTGTCAATGGGATCAAGCGCGCAAAGCAGGAGGCACAAATGTCGAGACTTACTAGGAGAAATACAAGTATTGCAAAGCATTTATCTTGGATTTATACACAGAGACACCAACGAAGGTGTTTTCTTGATCAAAGAAAGATACTAGAAACGAGGTTATGATCGAGGATAATAAAATTCTGAATAGACAATCAAAATCTTTTTCTTAATAATTAGAACGGAATTGGTTTTTGTAAAGCTAGCCAGAATTTTAAGTTTAGTGCTTTCCTAAACCTTTTCAAAGAAGAAATACTCTGAAGGAATTCATCGCAATGACCCAATGATATCTCTTCGAAGCTAATTGCAAATATAATTAGATACTAATTTCTGTTAGAATATAATATATATGCAAATTTCAAACAATTCTAAGTAGTTTGCTTTTACTGATAACAATAGTTTAAATGACTCAGTAAATTTACAAAAAATGATTCAATTAACTATACAGGATCTTTACATATTACATGATACAAAAGATCAATTAAATAAATGTAAAATACAGGATCTATATAGCATAAAGGGCGGTAAGTCGGAGCAGGCAAGAGACAAGAGACTATGGCATGTGGAGGGAGCTACAAGGGAATCTGTATGGGTTAAGAGGTTTTGAAAGAAAATTAGCATAAATTAATCTAGATTTTTCAAGAAAATCCATCTTCTACTAGACTACCATAACCACTTCCAGGTCATCCAACAAGTAGCAGTTAGTTCATCCACATTCATTAATCTTCATATCAGATAGAATTGCCTCTGCTTCAATAAATATGTTAACATACCAATTAATTTAAGAAAATCTTAACTGATACCATTTCCATGAGAGCCATACACAATCACAATGCCAAATGTTTTCTCTCAATAACCTTTCTGGCAGATACCACACTTAAAGTTGTGTCTTTCAACTCACACAAAGACCATGCTTCGAATGCGACCCAACAAGGCGGCACTATCGTGCATACTCCTTTTCTGCTTTTCGAGGATTATGACTCCTACTACTGCCCAAGGGCCAAAATTTAAAATTTCGAATTAGAAACCACACAAAATCATTTCAGAGAACAAAATGGGAGAAGCCAGCATATCAATTGATCTCAAGGAAGCTTACATTTGTATTAACATGTACCGTAAAGGATTACAAATCCATGAAAGCTCATAATCTAGAGTTTGCCCAAAACATAGACTTATTTTATTTTTTTAATAGAACATGGAAACCATCTAAAGTGTCCTGTCCTGCTTTTGGTGATAACATCAATTAACATCCCTCTGAAATGGGGTAGAGAAGCAAGGATAATTTATAATTTTTTCGGCTGAAAAACTTTTAGACAGTCATAAGAAAGGAGGAGCATGCATATAAAAACATGGTGATTGATGCATTAAATAACTTACGTTGGCAGGATTCATGGAAGGGTCAGTGTATGGAGAGCCGATGAGAATGGTGACCACGGTGGGAATGGTGAGCAACCATGACTGCAATACAGAGCTATTGTGTCTGAGGGCCACCAGTACCACTCTTGGGCCCTCTGAGGGCCACGGCCCCTCCACCATGATCTTGTATGTCACAGGCATCACCTTCTCTATCGCCCAATCGCCCCCAATTAATCCAAATGCCTGTGGCCATCAACATCCATTCCAGTCAATTCACTTACATATATGCAGAGAGAGAGGGATAGAGAGAGGGAGAGAGACAGGAGAGAAAGACCTGAGCTTCGGATCACAGCGCCATGGAGAAGGGGGTGTCATTTGCCGAGACCAGCAGCATAAAGCAAAGTGAGGGTGGTGGGATTGAAGGAGGCCCCTCCCATGGCATCCCCCAACCACACGAAAATGAGAAGGATAATGGAGAACAGCACAGTGGTCGTGAGGAAATCCCCGAGCTGAAGATGAGGGAGGTAGGAAGAGGTGATGATGGAAGTGAGGGATCCAATCGCTGTAGCAGAGTTAATCCACATGAAGGTGATGAGGGCATCTCCTATTGCTGATTTCACAGTCACAGTCCCCATCCTCACGAGTGTAAATTTGGCAAGCTGTAAAGGCAATTCTTCCATCAACAATAACAAAAACATTAACTCCATAGAGTTCAGAGTTAGCGTTCAAAACCTATTTATCGTACAAATAGAAAATTCATCATGTGTTACCGTTCTCTGCAAGGAAGCTTTAAATTAAGTATCTGACTTCAAACATAAGCAAAAATTTAAGCCATAATTAGGTTGACAGTAACAACACAGTAATTAGAGAGTTCAAAATTGACATCACGAACATAAGCACTGGAGCTTGAATCAATGAAAATTTCATCAATAGGATGGAGATGGAATTTGCCTATCCTCCCAAACAAAAATATCATTTGCAGAGAATCCAAAGTAACCAGGTTTTATCATCAGAGAAGTATATAGCAACAAAATTTATACTAATAATAAATAAAAAACAGCAATGACAGTAACAATAGCAAAAGGACTATTGTATAATTTTTACTATATATTCAGGGGTGATCCAATTAGAAATGGGTTAAACCATAAGCCCTGATTGAGTAGCTTTCAACCATTAAATGTTAGGAAGGAAAAATCAAATTAATGCAATAAATTATTAAAATGCAGGATTCCAATATAAGCGAAATGGGTTCAGAAAAAATGATCAGGAAAACCCAATTACAAAGCAATAACTATAAATACGTACGAGAAAACAATAATTGGAAGATGGTTCTCGATTTCTCAGATTGAGCATCAATATGGAAATTTTCAAATGAAAAATGAAAAATAATACCTTATCAGCGAGTTCTTTCCTTGTAACCTTTAACCTCGCTCACTGTGATACCCCTCTCTCACTCTCTAGAAAAATGCAGGGTAAGTAAACCCTAAACCCTCTCTCTCTCTAGCCTCGTCCACAGAGAGCCAAATATTTGCAGAGCTTTTTCCTCTCTCTCTCTTTTCAAAACTCCGTTGCCATGTTTATTTGGCGGGAAAGTATTACCCCATACAGCCGTCCAATTTACATCATTAGTAAGTAACTGTTTTGATGAAGATTGATCCTTCTTAGTATTTTATTTTTAGTTTTTTCTACAAATCTTATAAATATGAAATTTGGCACGGGTCATCTTTTCAATTGGGCACACCTAAAAAAATATTCAAATGAATTTTTTTGTAACACATGATGATCAAAATAAACGTTTAGAGATGTTTTTGCCATATTATTTATTATAATATATATATATATATATATATATATATATATTATACAAATGTAAGTTTAAAGGAAGAATGGATGCCCAAAATTTAGTGTCAAAATAGTATGTAGAAAAAAAATAAAAATAAAATAGGATAAAGATGCGATATTGTGAGCGGAGTCATCTCAATTGTCCATTTAAAATGGACGGTTGGATCGGGGAGAGTATATAAATTTTATATAGGAGGGGAAGCATAGAAAACACCCTCCCTATTATTGAAACAACGTAGCCCAACCAGTGATAGAACAGGTGAGGCCACCAGTTGGTTCGAACTGCCCAAATGGGATTGGTTCACATTTCAAAGCTGTATATGAAATTAACGATGGGATCGATGACAGAATTGATGAGGTTGCCGGTTTGCTCGGACCACCCGAACCGAATAGGTTCACCGTTTAGACCAATATATAAAATTAAATAATTATTTATAAAAATAAAATAAGGAAAAATAAAAAATAAAATTTTTTTATGAAAAATAGTGAAAATTTTGAAATAATATAAGAAATATTATAAATATAATAACTGAAATTGAAAATAACACAACAAGAATAACTCGTCATAGAGGTCTCTATTTTTTTCTTTTCTCAATTACATTTTTTCCATTTTCTTTGTTTTTTTTTTTTGCAATTGCCAAATCAAAAGTGAAAGACAGTAAAAAAACAAAAAAACAAAATTGCCCCAAAACTATTTGTGTTTTTTCCTTCTTCATTTTTCAAAATAATTTTTTCACTTTGAATTTTTGGAAAATCTGAATATGAATAATAAATTAGATTTAAAAATATATAATTTATTCCCTTTTTTTTTTTTCCATTCATGCATTTTAAATTTTTTACTTCATTCCAGTTTTTTCATTTTTATTTTTTGTTTTTTGTAAAAAAATAATAAAAAAATAAAAGAAAATCCCAAACATAATTATATTTTTCTTTTCTTTTTGTTAATTTTCTAAAATATTTATTTTCTTTTTCTAGTTTTTTGAAAATCCAAACAATGCAAAGAATAAAAAATACAAAACTAAAAAAATAGAAATTATTTCTCTATTCTTTTTTAGTTTTTTAGTTGTGTGTTTTCTTTTATTATTCTTTATATCTTGTTGTTTTTCTTTTTTGCATTTATCAACAAATTTCTAAAAAAGTTTAAAATAAAAAAATACATACTCTTACCAGAATCACACTAAAAAGTAAGGCATGGTCTTTTTTTTCTTCTAAAACTCAACAATGCAAAAGACCAAAAAAATTCATTTATTCTTTTGCATATGCTAAATAAATAATTAAATATTTAAAATAAAACTATACAATGAGGCCATTTATCTTTGCTACAAGGTGGTCACAATTAATCTTGACAATAGGATATGAAAATAAATTGATACAGTTATTTCATTGACCAAATTCAAACTTCAAAATAAAGTTTATCGAACTTTGAGACACATCCAAGCGCTTAGGTTTCACATCGGATTATTGTAATATAAATAATCGTGACCTATTTGTACCAAAAATAAATGGTGTAATTACGTACATTCCCATGTTAAAATATCCAAAAAAAAACTCACATAATAAAATATCTTCCCATAATCTCACAAAATTCCGAGACACACTCTAGACCCTTCGGTGGAGGGGCAAGAGAGGATCGTATTCTCTTTCTCAATCGTAATCTCTTTTTAACAAAAGGATTTGATAGCGCTACAACCCCATCAAAATAACCAGAGATACAACTCTCCTCACCATCCATTATTATTTTGGAATGGACGGTGAGGATTTATGAAACCAAGTCGACGAAATTGGATGGCCCCGTGCCCATTTACCTCTAATCTATTAGAAAGTCATGTGAGTCTATTATCTAGTTACTCCCTCTTATTATATGCCGGGAAATACTTTTTAGGTCGTTGTGGTTTTGTATAAGGTTGAGGGCTTAAACCAGCGTTTTAAAGAACGCCGAGGCGAACCGGACTAGCCCGGTTCGACTCGAAATTCGCGAAAAGGGACCGGATCGGTTGAAAAATCGGAAATCGTCTGGTTCTAGAGAGAACCGGACGATTCCGCACAGCGACTCGTCGATTCACAGTACGGAATCGGCGAGTCCGAACAGTGAATCGGCGAGTCGTACGGATTTTATTTTTTTTTGT